CATGTTTAAAGCTGTAATAATCAGGTGCTGCAGGTTTACACTTACAGGTTTACTCTCATGACTCATCATCTCTTCAACCTTTCCTCCCTGCCCAGCCTCAAACTGTAGTTTCATTAGTGACCAGCAGGTGAACATACTGGAGCGTCATTTGTGCAGGTTATATGTAAATGATCAGGTCCACTTTATATGTATACCTGGCAAGATGTGTTTGTCTGTATCTAACTATAAATGGATGAAGGGCCACTCATCAGTTGACTCCTGTAACCCACCACTCCTCTAACCAACCACTCATATAGACACAGCCTCAACAACACAACCAACATACAAATTAAAATTGTTGCTGTAAATATATTCTGATTTGGTTTTACTCAGATTGAAGAACAGAAAAAGGAGATCTCACTCCTCTCAGAGCAGTCATCATGCAACCCAGTGTTCAGGAGATTCCCCAGAAGGCTCATGAAGGAAATGCAAAGACTCGGTTTGGTAGGTGTTTGTTTTTTTTAACGCTCTTTTTTAAACTTTATTCAAACAACATTCTGCTTCAGTGATTTAACAGAAAGAAGGTGTAGTTTGCATGAAGTAAAAAAACAGGACATTGTCATTTTAACTCACCTGTCCCTTTTCTCCCCAGCCCACTGACTCCTCAGATGCTTTCTATGATGCCAGAGTAGGAGTTTCTAAACAAGCCATCACAGAGATTCAGGCACTTCTGGATGGTGAGGACAACTGGAGAACCGGGGCTCCCGATGTTGCTGTCAGTCAGATACTAGTGAATCTTAAACCACATGACTACGATGCCTGGAGGTGGCGTTTTGAGGACACCTTTGGCGTGGAGCTGTACACACTAATAAAGGTGAGCTCCTTCATTAATCTTTGAAATGCTATGTTATGTGGTATCTATGGAAAAACAGCTGTGACCGGATTAGTCACGACATTATTGGTTACTGCATTACCACAATCCCTAGGTCATGTGATGCCCATGATCATTACCATCATTACCACAATTTTTTCTCATTTTTTGCTGGTGAAAGTTACAGGAGTGCATATGCAGGGCTTTTCCTGACCAGAAATTAAGCATGGGTAAAGCCTAGTTTATGCTTCTGCGTCACGTCGACGGCGCAGACCCTTATGCCGTAGCCTGACGTGCGCCTCCCAAAAATCCTAACTACGCGTCGCGTCGACATGGACCGTAAGCGCTGTGATTGGTCCGCTCAGAACGTAATTTCCGGGATTTGCTTTTTCCGGCCTTTCTTCCTACACCACCATTTTTAAAGTTCTTGTGTGCAGATAGCAGCAATGCGCCAGCTGGAGGAACGTTTTATCGAGGAGGTCAGGAAGTATGACCACATCTACAGCGGCCAAAAAGTCCCGGCGTTTTATAATTTTCCATCGTGGCAGGCACCACACGTCAAGCACCGCGAAACGGAGTCCAACTACGAGGCAGCGGTATGTGTTTTCTGTTACTACTGCTAATCAAGCATCTACTCTTTCATTAAAAACAGACGTCGTGCAGTTCGTCGGAAAGCGACAAGGCCTCTGCGTCATCCCCCGAGCCCCCCCGGTCTACCACACCGGATTTACCAGCTCCCCCTGCAACTCCCAGCAAGCCACAAGCTTTTG